CCTGTCTCAAAAAAAACACAAAATAAAATAAAGAAAGAAAGGAAAAGAAAAGAATTTTGAGGGTATTGGTCTTTTGTCTTTTTGCTTTTTTTTTTTTTTTTTGGTACTGGGAATTGAACTCAGGACCTTGTGCTTGCCAGGCAGGCGCTTGTGCTGCTGAGGTATATCACCGGCATCTTTTTGCTTTCAAAATAGGTGTTGAGCAGTCTGAGGCCGTTCTGACTCTTGATCGATTTTATGTCAATTTTTTCTTCCTTTGTGGAAATAAGTAGGCTCTTATCTTTGTCTCACAGTAGAGTACCCAGTGTTGGGTGTTTTCATTTGCAAGCTGAATGAGGGACCCCCTATAGGATTGACTGGGTCAGGCAACTTGTATCTCAATTCTGGAAAGTTCTGTTTTTCTTTTTTGAGATATGATCTCACTATGTTGCTCAGGCTGTCCTTGAACTCCTGGGCTCAAGCACTCCTGCCTCAGCCTCTCAAGTAGCTGGGACTACAGATTTGTACCACTGTGCCTGGTTTTTTTCCCCTTCTTCATAATGAACTCATTCCATTAAGTTTTAAATTGTTGAACACTTTTATATAACACAATAATTGTACATATTTATGTGGTACAATGTAGTATTTTAGTACTTTTTTTTTCAGTCCTTGTTTTATAAGATATGATGATCAGGATTAGGTTAATTGGCATATTCATCAGCTCACTTAGAATTTCTTTGTGTTGGAACATTTAAAACTTCTTACTAGCAATTCTGAAATATACAGTTAATTATTGTGTTGATTATAGTTACCCTATTGTGCTATACAACATTTAGAGTGATTCCTCCTGTCCAACTTCAACCCTGTATCCATTAATTTTCCTCTGTCCATCTCCACCCTCACTCTTGTCCTCTGTTAACCATTAGTATATGTTTGTGAGGCCAACAATTTAGCTCCTACATATAAGTGAGAGTATGGTATTTGTTTGTGTTTGACTTATTTCACTTAATGTTTTCGCTCATCTTCCATGTTGTTAAAAATGATAGTTCTTACTTAATTACTTACTTACTTATTTATTGAGTCAGGGGCTTGCTGTGTAGTCCAGGCTAGTCTTGAACTCACTATGTAGCCTGGACAGGCCTCAAACTCACGGTGATCCTCCTGCCTCAGCCTCCTGAGTGCTGGGATTACAGGAGTGCACCACCATGCCCAGCTTGTGGGTGTCTCTTTGACATACTGATTCATTCCCTTTGGATATATACCCAATACTAGAATTGCTGGATCATACAGAAGTTCTATTTCCAGTCATCTATTGAGTTTTGCATTTCTGCCATCATGATTGTTATTTCTGATTCTTTTTTCCTCTTCATTGTTTTTTAATATATCACCTTCTTGTTTCACGGATACAGTATCTTCTCTGTGCACAGTGTGTTTTCTCCAAGTATTTTTGTTGTGCTTCGTTTGGGTTTGGTTTTGACTTACTTGTTTTGGTTTCTGTCATCCAAGTTAGAGGCTTCCCTTGAATGCCTGGTGGTCCTTCCTGGGTAAGAACAGGAGAGTAAAAGGAAGCTCTGAGCATGACGGTAGGCCTGTTCACTTCGAACAAGTTGTTTGACTCGAACAAGTTGTTTTGTCTCCGTTTTGGTATTGATGGCAGTATTGGCATTCATAGGCCCCTTCTCTTGCACTGATTAGATCCTCAGGAGGTCAAGCTCTGGCTCCCTCTAGTCTCCAGCCCAGTGGGCGAGCAGCCTGGGGAGCCCCACACCAGCCTTTTACCTACTCCTTGGCTTCATATGTCACCTTTGCTTCCAACTGTGCGGGACAACTCTTTGTGCAATAACCCCATTTTGTTTGTTAGTTTGTTTTGAGACAGGGTCTCACTGTGCAGTTTGGGCTGGCCTTGAACTCACTTTGTAGCCCAAACTGGCCTCAAACTCACAGCAGTCCTCCCTCCTCAGCCTCCCGAGTGCTGGGATTACAAGTGTGCATTACCACACCAGGCGATAACCCCTTATTTTATACACTCCCTGGAGAATATAAATCAACCTTCAAACTTCTGGGGAAGGTAGGAGAAGGGATTTTACTTCTTTCCTTCAACCTCTTTATTTTCACACATGCACCTTCTTCATCCTGGTCCTGTTGTGTGAAGTGTCTGCTAAGGACTGTTTTGTAAATCGGCTTTTACACTCCTGTCTGACATTAGGTTGTCGCAGGTCTGCTTTTCAGAACTCAAAAATGTGTTCGCAGTGTCTCTTCTCTTGTTAGCTCGATCTTGTGACTTTACATCTCCTTTAAAAGTCTTTCTACTAGGTTGGATTGAAGAAGGTCGTGGAATGTGGAGTGTAGTCAGCGTCCCTGTTATTTTTCCACAATAGTTTGGGTAACTGGAGTGGTGATGGTGGAGGCCACATCGGTGATAATTCCAGGCTGGTTTTGTGATGGGATTCCTTAAACATTTTTTGACTCTTTGTTTTACATTATTCACAGTCACTAGGGACATGGAAAGTATCAAGGAGAAAATAAAAGCTGGCATTCCTGGAGCAGGGCCTCGGGGAGGACTGTTCGTGGTGGTGCTTTTGTGGTGCCACCTTTGGCTTGGGTGAGGAGGATGGGCTGGTGCTGCAGCCACAGGGCCATCATGCCCGGGGTACACACAGGGCTGGGCCCAGGGGGCAGCCCCTCCCATCACCATGTGGCTCCCAGTGGGCAGAGCTGAGTCAAGGCCTGGGTCCTTGGCCACTGAGTGGGACCCTTAAAGCTGTGTGGGACATGCCTCACGGCTGGCCACCTATGGGACGATTTTAGATGACCCTGAATGATCTGAGGGGCCACGCTTGGACCTGGCTGGTCCACTGAGGAACAAAAGGGACCTAGGATTGACCCAGGTCAGCTGCATTTTCTGTGAGGACAGTTTATATAGCTCAGAGGTCAGGGACTTGGGTGGAGGAGGAAGAGGAGGAAGAACCATTTCCTTTCCTTTCTGGGGTGCCTGTCATTCGGGTCAAAGCCCTGTGATGTTCTGCTTTTCCTGCCTGCTTTAGTCCTCTCCCTTGTGGGGTCAGAGATTCTCTGAGGCTCCTCTCACAGCACCTCTGGTCCCACTCTTGTCCCTTCAGTGTCTGTAGGCCTCAGGGCAGCACTGAGACTAACTCTTGTTTCTTAATTAGTGCCTGGGTCTCCCCAGCTCCATTTTGGGGTCCTGCAGGCCCCCAAGCCTTGTCTGCCACATCCCTTTCGTCCTTGATGCCCATGGGGCCTCACAGCACGGCAGGTCAGGGCTGGAACAGGTCCAGGTGGTCCAGCTTTCCCATCCACCCAAGGAGGAAAGTGAGGGCCAAAGAAGCCCCAGTCAGGACCAGAGCTCTCATCTGCCAGTTCTGGGTTCAGTGTCTCTCAGAGCTTTGGCCTCCTTTAGAAGGTTTGGATTTGGGGGGTTTAGAGTCAAGAGATCTGGGTTCAGGCCTTGGAGAAGCCTAACTGTTCTGAACCTGAGATACAGCAGTAAACTAGGAAAAGTACCACGCACAGCCCACATGAGGAACATGTATGTCACGTGTCTAGCAGGGGTCAGAAGTGGAGCCACTGTCACATTGCTGTCTGGGCTGTCAGATATTTGGGCAGCTAACACTGAGCCAGCAGCACCCTGCGGAGCTTGGAGGTGTGGGAAATAAGACGAATCACAATGGGGCCTCCTTAGGATGCAGCTGTGGGCCCCAGGGTCTTTCCAGCCTTCTGGGCTCTAAGTTATGGGGCTCTTCCTGTGCAGGGCCCTGAGAGGGCTCCTCCCAGCTCCTGCTTCCTCCCGCTAGTCCTGGTGCACAGCCCGGGCTACCCCGGGGCTGTTACCCACCCCTGGGGAAGGAGGTGGGCCCGTGGGAGAGCAGGCCTATGCCGTCTCCAGTTCTGGTTTTCCAGGGAGCCCTGGCTGGGGGTTGGAGGGGATGGGAATAAAAGCCCAAGAGGGAGGGGAGCGGGGAAGCAGAACGGGAACTGAGAGGGAAGGGTGTGGGTGGCCCTGATCCAGCCTGCCTCCTACTTTCCCGCTGCTGCCAATCCCCTCCCTGTCGCTCGTCAGAGGCAGGGGCTTGGCGCAGTGGTCTGGGGGTGGGAGCTGGAGAACTCTGCTCCTCTGCCTCCAATGGGATTGACACGGCAACACCCCCACTCCAGCTGTGGCCTGAGGCTCTGGCTTTGTTACTTCTCTGTCTTGAGGCCCATACCTGGAGCAGGGACAAAAAGCCCCTAAAATTCAGCCGTGTGGGTTTGGAGGGCCAGCTTTAACCCACCCATTCTGAAGGCAGACGGGGCCAGTTGTGGGGTGTGGAAGAGAGCCGTTCATGTCCTTCCCCAGAGCGGCCTTGACCGAGGCTGTGGCCTCTCCCCACCACAGCAGCCTCTGGAGAGCAGAGCAAAGCAGGCCTTCAGCCTGGCTCAGCCTCAGTTCAAGTCCGAGTCCCGAAGTGAGGTGACATTCATTTCACTACATCCTGTGACTGCCGCTCACTTCCTCCACGTGGAGGGAGCAGTGTGGGGGTGGGGGGGTCGGGTGAGGACAGATTAGAAGGAAAATGTAGCCCGGTTGGGGGGCCTCTGGGGGAGGCTGGGGTTTCCCAGGGGCTGCTTGGGGTGGGAGGCAGGGTGCAGGAAGCCTTCAAAGGATGGAACGGATGTGCATGAAGAGAAGGGAGGAGCGGGAGGCAGCTGAGGTCCCAGAAGTGGCACCCGCAGCACACAGTGACTGGAGGCTCTGGCGAGACTGCTGCTGCCCCTAGCTCTTGGCCGCTCGCCGACGGTGGCGGGAGGCACCCTGTGGGCAGCCTGTCAGTGCTGCTGGCTGGGCCTGCCTCAGTTTCCTTCTTGGAGTACTGGTGAGGACGGGAGGAGGTCAGGTCAGAGACAGGGGGCCTCACAGACCCAGCTGGCCCTGGGCTGTGGCCTAACCTTGGAAGAGGCTGAGGGTCAGGTGGGGCCTGGATCCTGGCCTTCTGTCCTGCTGACCTGCTTCTCTTCCCCTACAGGTGGAGCCATCAGAAGCCCAAACCCACAGGACAACCGTGGCAGGTCTCACCAGCGGGATCGATACCAAGATCTATGTTTAAGTTTTAACTCCTGCTTACCAAGGCCACAATAATTCCTTCCCTAAAGCCCAGCAGTCCCCCAGCCCCACACAGCCCCAGCCTGCCGCCCACCACCCAGCTGCCCGCCATGCCCTCCAGCGGCCCTGGGGACACCAACAGCTCCGCTCCGGAGCGGGAAGAGGACCGAAAGGTGAGCAGCCGGCTCTTGGGCGGGAGTGGGGGGTGGAGAGTGTACCCTGTGGCTGGTATGGGGGAGCTGCCCCACATAGCGACATCTCTCGGGTGCTGAGTGCTGCCACCGTGGAGTCATGTGCATGGCTTGGTCTAAACAACAGGCTGATGGGGACCATCAACATTCCAGTTTTGGTGATAGGGAAACTGAGGCTTGGAGACTTTGGATTCTAGTGGTGGGACAGGAACTTAAGCCCAGGGGTCTGGCTCTCGAACCCCAGCTTTCGGCCACCATGGTGTGGCGCGTAGGCTCAAAGCCCAGACCTGTGCAGGTGTGAGGGCTCAGCCATGAGACTGTCCCAAAGCCTGGGTGTCTTTTTGGATCTGCCTCTTACTAGCTGTGCATCCTCAGGGAAGCCCCTGTACCACTCTGTTCTGGCTGCTTCTGTGTCCTTAGGTGTTCTGTAGACATAAGGCACTCTGCCCACACAGATAACAAGCACTGAGCTGCACCCCAGTGCTCAGCAGTGGGCCACATCGGTGGCCCTTAGAAGCGGCGATTTCCCGTCCACCACCCTAGCCTCTGAGTGAGCATCACCGGGTGATCTTTGATGTGGCTTTGGGCCATGGAGTGCTGATCTTGTATTTTCAGAGCCTTGTGTGTGGTGACCTCTTCACCCTTCTGTTGAACTCTAGGTGGGGTTGAATTCCGCCAAAGGGGACTTCATCATATTGATGGAACCCCCACAGGGTCCCCACCAATTGCCTGGGGACTTCCAAGCTGTGAGCATCCATAGGAAAAGTGGCCTCTAAGCTCAGCACTTGGGATTCTTTTCCCTCTGTTGGTGGGTGGTGACTTCTACTGCCACCCTGTAGTAAAGCTGTGACAGCCGGGCTTCTTGGCATGTCTCCACGGTTCCCCTGGCTGTGCCCCTTTCCCTGAGCCAATGTGAGGACTCTTGATCCTTGGTGGTGTCCAAGAGTAGCAGGGCCTGTTCTTCTGGAGCAAGGGTAGACTCCTGGGACCAGGTGTGGGGCCTGTGAGAACCCTAGGATGAGAGGTAGCTGGCGCGCTTCCCTCCAAGGATGTCGGTTCTGCTGCCTTTCTCATGGGGTGGCTGTGAGACCTCCCTCACACATGCTCAGTGCCTTCCTGGGCTCACTCAGTCTAAGAGTGTGTGTTTATGTTTTCTGGGTGGTTTCCATCCATTGTTCCATTTTCCTTGGGGACAGCCTTGACAAGTGGGGCAGGACAGATGGCCCTGGTTTACAGATGGGGATGCTGAGCCCAGCTAGTCAGTGGTGGGTCCAGATGAGAGCCTTGTCTCCTGCTTCTTGGATCTGAGCCCTTCCCATGGCCATGTGCATAGGTTATGCTATGGACAGACAGATAGACACACACCCACACAGCGTGCGCACGCACACCTCACAACCTCCTGCACTTTCCAGTGTTAGCTGTGGGCTTGGTTGATTCCCTGCCCTCCTTGGGCCTCGCTTGGTTTTCCTGTTGGATTGAATGACCCTGAGCTTCCCCCTACCCTATGTCTCACGTTCTGACAGATGCTGACACCTTCATGTCAATGTGTTTGCATCCACTGTCCCCTGCAGATGGGACAGACTCCTATTCCTGGACTGTAGAGCCCTAACCTCTCAGCTCAGGCTTGGACTTGTCATTCGTCAAGATGGAAAAGGAGCTCTGCACAAGGAGATGAAATCCCAGACTCCTATCCTGAGTGTGCCACTTACTGGGGATGTGGAGATGTGACTTCAGGCCATCTGGGCTTGTGTTTGCTCAGCTGGAAAATGGGGATAGTAACTCTAGCCTTGCCTGTTTTATTGGGCAGTTGTGGAAGTCAGATGAGGTCATGAGTGTGGAAGTGCCCTGCAGACAGCAAAGTCTGGTCCAATTATGAGGGATTACGACTGCTATTATTATCTACCCATAGTAACTGCTCTGGCTCACGCGGCAACAAACACATACCCAGCCCTGGATCCCGGTGCTGACAGAGCGAGTACACTTGCACTCCGGCGAGCAGGTGGTCATGCCAAAAGATGGCAGTGATCTGGAGAGTCCAGCCTGGGGCACAGCCGGGCCTCCTCCCCAGCCACCCACGCCCACAGGAACATGCTGGCTCACCTGGCACACCTCCCTGGCACCCTGGGCTGGTTCTGGTAGTGCCAGGAAGCTGCCCTGAGAGGGTGCAGAGAGCCATAGAGGTCTAGGAAAGCCAGGCCTGGGGCAGAGGCGCTCCGTAGTGGCGCACAGGGAGACACAGGCTTGGTCTGCAGCCCAAGGAGCCTGGCAGAGGTGCCGGGGAATCTGGCACAAAGAGCTGTCTGGTGAGCCAGAGGGAAGGGGTGGGGCTCCCACTGGCCCCTCTGCTGCCTGGCCCCACCTGCCCCACTTGTTCCTGCCACGCCTCCAGCACCATTTGAGTGCTTCTGAGCTGCCAGGCCTTTGTTTATGCTGTCCTCTCAGCTGGCAGCCCTGTTCCTGCTCTTCATCCCTTCTCTCTTGGTTTAGTCTGCCCTGGATTACAGTTTTCAGTGGACCCGTGATTCTCAGTATGACCCCTAAACCAGCCGCATCATCATCCCCTGGGAAAGTGTTGGAAATGCAGAGCTCAGGCCCCGGCTACACCTGCCAAGTCAGGAACCTGGGCTGGGCCCCAGCAATAATCCGTGTCTTAAGTGGCCCTCCAGGGGACTCTCTGCCCACAGACATTTGAGATTGACAGTGTGGATAATGTCCACTGCCCCTAGACGGTGGTCTTGACCCTTCCATGTGATTACCCAGTGCCTGTGGTAGCACAGAGTAGACGCCAGGACCTGTTGCGTGGATAGGGCACAGGAGAGAAATCAGAGCCGAGTCAGGCAGGTGGGGTGCAGGGCTTGGGGTGTTGGGCTGGGTGGTTGCACTTGTGGCTGGGAGTGTATGTGTGTGAGTGCCCTCTGGTACCTGCTTCCACTTTTTTTTTTTTTTTGGTGGTATGAGAATTGAACTCAGGACCTTACACTTGCCAGGCAGGCACTTATACCACTGAGCTATATCCCCAGCCCTTGCTGCTACTTCTTTCTGGCGTCCATGGGGTGAATAGGTGCTGCTGCTTGTAGAGGCTGGGAGGAAGCAGGGTTTGGGTGGTGAGCTGTGGGGCTGTGGTCAGGGTGAGTCAGGTGGGAAATGTGGCTGCAGCAGGGAGGGGGCCAGCCTGGAGGGGGCTGGGTAGGAGGCCAAGAGTTTAGAAGGATCCCAGGGAGGGGGCCGCCCTGTGTGGAGGGGCGGAGGGAGCAGGAGGGGGACCAAGGGCATTCCAGGGCCTCCTCAGATCCCCACCTATGAATTGGCACTGGCCAGGAGTCCAGATGCCCAGATGATTTCCCCAGGCTCAATATTCCCCTTTTTCTTCTGGCCTCCAAAACATAATGGCCAAGACGCTGACTGTCTGCCAAGCACTCTGTTCACACATTATCATATTTAATTCTTACAACTGCCCAATAAGGGCACTAGTAGGCACTAGTATTTTCATTGCGTTTACTTCCTCCCTCCCTCGCTTGCTTCCTCTCTCCCTCTCTCCCTTCCTTCCTCTTCAGGCTAGGGATCAAACTGGAGGGTACATTACCACTGAGCTACATCTCCAACCATCTTATTTATGATTTTGATAAAGAGTCTCCATAGGTTGCCCAGGATAGCCTCAAATTTGTGATGCTTCTGCCTCAGCCTCCTGAGTAGCTGGGATTACTGGTATGTACTATCATGCCTGGCTTCATTGCCTTTCTTATTAAGACTAAACCAGAGCTCAGAGAGGTTAAGTCATTTGCCAGAATGACTTAGCACACCGCAGTAGGTGGTAGGATAGGAGCTGAAGCCTGGGCAGCCTGTGCACTTGTGCTCTTCAGGCCGGCTCCTGTGTGAAGGGGAGCAAACAGGGCCTCTCTGCTGTGCGGCTCAGTAGTCCTGCTGCAGGTCGAAGATGCTTATTTAGACTGAAAGTCAGGATGGTGCGAGAGGCCTGTCCCTATGCAGCAGTGCTCTTGCCCTGGGGTGATGTCCAGGGCATTTCATCTCTAGCTGGAACGTACGTGTGCAGGCCCGTGGGCATGAATCTGCGCACGCGCATACATAAACATACTGCGGTTAGGTCTTCATCGTGGACACTGCAGTGGGCACTTGCTTCTACTGCTCCTCCCTTCTTCCCTCTCATTTTTCTGACTTAGGTGCTTTTCCGGGTATCTCCTGCATAGTAGGGCTCCACAAACCTGTTGGGTGGACTGATTAACATTCCTGGAGGATGTAGGGAAGGACAGGGGATAGCAAAGTAGAAAGGTGGCTAGGCTGTGGCAGCGCTCCAAGGAGGGGGCTCCTTGGCGACTTACCCTTCTTGCCCTCTCCTGCATGAAACAGAAGGTGCAGTGGGGGTGTGTGTTTGTGCTGGGGGGGCATGGCAAGTGTGTGTCTGGATGTGTGTGCATGTGTGTGTGGCCGGGGCTGGAGCTCCTCCCTTTCCTTTCCCCTCAGAGTCCAGCCTGGAGGCCTGGCAAGTCTTGATTTCCCTTGGGGTCTGAGCGTTTCCTCTGCTGTGGTACACAAGCTCAAGGGCACACTGGGCGGGGTCCCTGGCAGCTCCAATCTCGGTAGTTCTTGCAGGCTCACAGGTCTGCAGGAACAGAGCGTTCTGGGCATGCTCTACCTTTGCTGCACTCAGCCATCGCATGGTCACTGCAGGTGGCTGGTCACTATAGGGTTCTTTCAAGAGTTTAAACAGTTACAGAAAAGGCACTTTCTCCCTCTCCCTTCAGGAACACAACACAGGACAATGGCAGGAACATTTCTACTTTGTGGAATTAGTAGGCGCTCAGGCCTGTTCAGGAGGTATGTGCTGTAATGGACACCTGACATGAGTGCCAAGCATGGAGACAGCTCCTTGTCAGCTTGAGATGTTTAAATGAGATGGTGTGTATAAGCAGTTAGCCCAGGAACCTGGTACATACCAGTTGGCCATATCTTTGGGTAACCGTCCC